ATTCCACCCCAAAATAAAATGATGATTCATTAGGTTTCCTTCGTGTACTTCACAAATCAGGCATCTGTTACACAAATAGTGACTGTAAGTAAAATACAGCACAAAACAAATGGATTGAAAATCACTAAACAAAATTTTCAGAAAAATAATTAAGTGGCCTTTTAAGGATTCTATTTATTTAGTGACTTGAAAAACTTGAGGTTAAAATATTAAAGCTTCATTCCCTTTATTTCTGAATTTGTGGATCATGAGCATAAAGTAAAGATTTGATCCTACATAACTACTTACAACTTTTCATTTTGTTCATAGCAAAGGGAACTCACGAGCACTGACCCAAAAATTAACTGTAAGGAGAGTTTGAGTGATTTGTGCCTCCATTTTTTATAGACTTGGCTAAGTACCACCTTAACCAAAGACAAACTAAGGTTACAAAGGCTTCTCACAAAAGATATATTAACCCCTGTTTATAACAATAGCAAACAATTGTTATTTTCAAAATGGAATTACTACCCTGGTGAGGATTTGATTTATTTTAAAAATATTTTTAATTTTTTTTTTTTAATTATACTCTGTATTAAAATTCAGGTAAAGTCTGAAAAAGCATTTCAGGTTATACATATGAATTTTTTTAAAACCTCAATCATGGAATAAAATTCCCTCTTTATTTCTCATAGGTACACACAAAACATGCACTCAAAGAACAGTATAATTTACTTAACTCATTATTTAGCCTACCATCTAACCATTAATGTCTCTTACCAAAGTGAACTATCACATGTAACATGTATTTCAGACACTCTTGACACATGCAAACAATAGCAAGAATTCCCTTAGGTAAAATTTGCTCTCCAAAGTAGCTCCTTTTCCAGAAAATTCACAGTTCAAATCTTGCCTTTAATTCCTTGACTGCCTTGCTAATACATGTGCATGTATAAACACATAGACAAACAAATCTATAAACATAAATCCTCAAGATTCCAGAATTTAAAGTTGAATAACACACATAAAAACGAAATTAGCCTGTATAAAGAATTTAATTTAAATATTGCAGCAAAAATGGGCTAAAATTGCCTTTAAAAGTGGACTCTGAGGCGTGTGTTGTTCTAACTGAAAGATGTGAAGGTTCAGAATGAGAATAAGGCATGTGGTGAGCTATATAAATACAGAAGCAGGTGGAACAGGCTTATATTCAACCTTCTGGGCATCCCAAATAGCACATAGACTCCATGGAGGGAACATTTAAATGGGAAAGGCAAACTCAAGCATGTGCCCTATAAATGCCTTAATGACCTGAGTTAAGAAGTTCACCTTATGGAAGAAGAAAAGATGTACACTTTGTATGTTTGTCAAAAGATTATGCAGGCTGGCTTATATTGTTTATGGCAACTGTAGCATAAAGACTTTTATAAACCAGCATGTATTAGCTTTTTACTCTTTACAGACACATCAGAAAATTTGTCATGTAGGTAGACACAAATAAATGCTTACATTTTGAATCTCTCGTTTCAAAAAATTGGAAAAAAGAAAAGGTGAGAACAGATACTGGTGACAGCCACCCACCAAATAATGCCAAAGCCCCACTATTAATGCTGACCTTTCCTAGATGTCATGGTTTTTTGAGTATATTTTTGAAAATAAATTTACTCATTTAAAAATTACTATTTCGATTTCTGCTTTTATATTTTAAGAAATATAACAGAGTTTTCAGAAAATATAGCTTTCATCTTGGCCAATGTTTTTATGGATCATTGTACTGTTACTTGAGGTGAGCAATAACAAAGCAAAGCTTACAAAACAAATCCATGCACAGTCAGGCCTTCTCTGTCTGTGAGCCTGCTATTGCTGCAGAGAGATAAAATATTTGCCCTTCTACAACCCCAAAGAGTGCTTCTTCCCTAATCCATAATCATTATGCATGCATTGTTCCAACAGGCAGCTTTGAACAATTTGACTCTTCGGCTTCTCCGTCAAGAGCTTAAAAGGCTTTCACTTGCTCTATTTTTCTTTATTCTTCTACACAAAGAAAATTGCTGAGATACATCAAATACTGGTTTGCTAAAGATATTATCATATGGAACTTGCTTATTCAAACAACATGCTCTTCCTATAAAGCACAGAACCATGACATGTGGGATGACAACTTTGATGCATCCACAATGGGCGGCGATGTCTCAGCACACAGCACCAGCTCATGTTTAAATGCACATCCTGTCTGATGCACTCTGGAAGCACACTAACCCCACTTTTACAAGGGATTAACTTCCACTAAACTGGTGGAAACAGGACCCTTTCAATAGATGTCCTGCACTTCTTTTGTGATAACTTGAATTTCAAATGGATGTCTGGTTTTGGTTTGGATTTTTGGGTTTTTTTCCAAGGAAGATTATCTTGTGTTTTTCTATTTTCCAGGCATACACTTGTAAAAGATAGGACATACACATGTTTTGGCCCAAAGAAATTTTTGGAAAAGTTTGCAAACAAGAAGTCATTATTTATTGTATTCCCTTTTAAAAAGCTTTCCTATTACAAAATAATATCTGGTAATCTTGCAAAGTCTGATGATACCCCAAAAAAAACACTTTGTTTATTAAATGCCTATATTTCCAAAAATACTGAGAAATTTGTAAACAAAATGTTTTCAAATATGCTTTTACTATAAATATGAAATTATTACTGTTGCAGTTTATTACATGTAACATGAAGCCTATTGTCTTCCCACTGGCAGTGTGCACAAACTAATTTATTCCAACAGACAGTTAGGCATGACAGATGAGGGAATGAACTTGGACAAAAATAACTGATATTTGGTCAATGGTCAAAATTGAGTTTGAGGTATTCCCTTTGTTTTCCAGAGAGAAAAGTACAATAAGAAAGATTCAACTGATGAATCAGCTATTATCAAAAAAAACCCCAAAAACCAAAGTGGCAATGCTAAGGAAATAAAGTTATAAAGGTCTAATTGAAAACTGTAGATAAGTAGGATGCAAGTTGTTCCAATTTGCTTTCATGTTGGAAGTATTTGCTGTGCAAGAGAAAAAGTCAATAATTTTTCTCCTGATTCCCACACATAATAACAAAACTAGAGCTTGAGTAATTTTCTAAGATAATTAAACAACAGGTATATGGATTGTCTTGTTTCTAGCTTTTTTTGTCTTGTTATTAAGCTATGCTGAAAGCCTCTAATAGCTAGCACTTCACTGTGTGCCCCTTTTCCAGATGTGAAAACGTGGTTTATTAGCTTGTGAAACATCTGCATGTTTTTATAAAAGCTGGCTCATGCTAAAAAAAAAAAAAAAAAAAGAAAAAAAAATCAAAGCAAGCAACATAAGTAGGATTAAATGAGACTTTTTTTACATTATTACTATGACAAAAACTGTGTGAAGAAAAATAAATATTAAAAGAAAATTTCTTCTGTCTGTACATAAAATGCTCAAGTGCTCAGTCCCTTGCCAAAGAAACGCTAACTAGCACATAAAGTACCAACAGGTTAAACCACAACAAGCTTTATTTTTCCACTGAAATTCCATCATTTTGTTCTGCTAGGATTTCATACATCTTTTGCTTTGCTTCTCACTTTTGTTCCTGCCTCTTTTAACTATAATACCAGATTACAAGACAAGACTTGAATGTGTTGTTTAGCATGTTTGGAAATCCTAAATAATCAACACTACAAATTAAAACAAAGGTTTCAGTCACCTAACAGCTGATTTGGAACTGCCAAAACTAGCATTTCCAAGGAAACACATCTTTTGGATAATGGCTGTCCTGAGGCACTCTAACAGAATTAGAAGTGAAGTAGAAGGAAAGAAAAGAAAGTTGAGATCTGGGAAGAAAAAATATGAAGGAGTAATAATGGTCGGCTTGAAAATAAGGGGGAAAAATTGAATACTAGGTGTAGGGATAGTAAAGATATACTGGTGAAAGGAAAAAAAAAAAAGAACACTTTTGATTTAGAAACACAAGTTTTCTAAAGATTTGTTGAAGAATATTAGAAGATACTGAGGCAAAGAAGTGGCGCTACAATGCTACAATACTGAAGATAAAATAAGAAACTTTACTAAAAGTCAACTTGAGAAGACTGTTTAAAGGTGTAAGACTGAAACCCAGTAACCTGCTATAATAGTAGGTTATGGTAACCTACTATAACTATCAGCAGTATGATTTCTGTGCTCAGTTTGTAGGGTTTTTTTCTGATTGATTGGAGTGAGAAGGGGTCTCTTTGAAACAGCACAATTATAAACCTCTGTAATTTACAGATTTCTCCCTCATTAGTGAATTCAGCCTACTGATGCATGTCCTAACAAGGGAAAGCCATGAACTTCAATCTATGCATAGCAGCATAAACTACAACAGCACCTCTTAGTGTAGTCTGTCAACAAGAATCTTTAGGACTTGAATTATTTGTCAGGATATTGAACATGGCACAGAAGATGAAAGTAGGCAGCCCAAATTCTGTATATTAAAAGTGCTTGGTGTGTCACAGTTTGAAACATCAGCAACAAAACTGAATATTTATTAATATTGTAATTTTGATTAAATATAAGCTAACATCAGATATTGTTTCTATAATGGCAAATGAAATCTGAAAGTCTAATTAAAACATACACAAGTTGTTTCACAAATCACAAGGACAGCCTTACCTGAAAGCATTTTACTTTTCTGTACTCAGCTGTGTATAGTATTACTTCATGAATTAATAGGGACAGTACTGAACCTAAAGGTAGTTAATTTTAAATTGTATTAATGAATACTATGAAAATCCACTCTAAAAAAATCACAGCAGAGTAAGGCAACATCAGATCTGTATGGCCTGGGACAAAAGCTAATCTGGAATTAAAAGGGATAATATGACTTATATAAAAAGGGGGCCAGAAAAAGGACAAAAACACATGCATATTTATGCGTAGCTATGAAGCTCATGAATATCTTGATTATCTGCTTTAAAACATCTGTTTACCTTCATCTTGCAGAGGAATTCAGGAAACAGAAATAAAACATACCTGTATTAGAGAGAGATCCTCAAGATTCAATCTGAAGAGGTAGTTTCTGGGGGTTAAAAAAAATAGCAGATAAAAATGAATTGTTACTAATGTTTCAGTGAAAAACCCAAATGTTACCACTGTTTAAATAAAAACATAATTAATTAATATAAAGACAAAAAAAATTTAGAAGTGACAGGTATTCAGGGCTTCAGATTCTTTCAGAGGCTGTCCTAATATGCAGCCCTTTGGGATAAGGACTAAGTTAATTTCTAAAACAGATTTTCAGTCTGAAGGTCTGGCTGAACATGAATGAAGTAGATATTTATACTGCATGCATGTACATCTGATTCATTGCTCCAGTGTTCTTTTAGAATCAATGGGAAGAAATACTCAGAGGTTTGGCAGATCCATGGCAGCAGCGCTGGATGGCTCCATCAGAACACACGGACAGGCAGATTAAAGCTCTCCATTCCTCCCCACAAAGACAGGAACTTCATGCAATTAGCTCAGCCACATGCATGTAAAGTTTGAAGCACAGGGTCTCAGTATGATGGCAAATCTGTACAAGCCCCTGAGTTTCCACAATTTGGAGCAAAGTCTTGCCCTATGTGGTCTCACTTCTCCAAAGTCTAAGAATGTTTTCACACAGACAGCAGGAGCTACACGCAGACCAACCAAGCACAGGTTTCAAAAGCCTGCGCATCTATTGCAAAAATATTTCTCATCCTGCCTTTTCTCTACAGCAGCATCACTGCACCTACAGACCTTGGGAGGGGTCCAGGCAAACCACAAGCAAGAAATATTCCTCCTCTGACATTATTTTCTTTCTTTCTTAGTTCTTATCACACCTCTTCTTCTTGTTTTCATTATTCATTTTTTCTACTGCATCTTCACAGAAGTAATATTCCATGGTCCTCTTTTGCCTGTTACGTTATTTAAAACAATTCTGATTTTCCAATGCTACTACAGAGTGATAATCTTTTAGAGATGAAAATAAAATGGAATTTTAAGTAATATAAATTACTTTCATCCTAATTTATTCATAACAAATTTGTAACACCAATTGATAAGACTTTAAAAAAATTGTTTAAAGTAAAAAAAAACCCATATGACAAAGAGATGAGTGAATTTTACCTTTAAATATCTTCAATATTCATTAATTATCTGCAATATTAAATCCATGCAACTTATAGGTGTGTAATCAAAATTAGAATCAGGCCATATTTTTTGAGATAATAATTCTAATTCTTTCCCAAGAGGTATGAGGTATTGCTAATGGGCACAGATGGTCAGAACTTGTAGTTTACATTTATTTTTTTTTTTTAATGAGACAGCAGAGTAGGGGAGAAGGGCAAAACCAAAATCTGTCTAACTCAGAAAGATAACCACCATGGACATCATGGCTGTCTTTATTTATGGACTCTCAGAAACAGTTATGAGTATTTATTTATTGACTCTGGTGCATGTATGGTCTACTTAAATTGTGGCTGTACAGGAACCATGTCACTAGTCTTTCCTAGGAGTACTGCTAAATAAAATGCAGGAGGTGGGGTATTAAGAGCAAGAATCCACATGAAAGTAAAATAAAGAGAATATTTATTACTATGCAGTTAAATCAGCACAAAGAAATAGCTATAATATTTGAGTTTCATGAAGAGACCTAAAGTGGATAAGCGAAGAAAACAGTACTTTGCACAACAATGTGTACACACACAAAGCTTCACCAACAAATTACATGCAAGTGGACTTGAAAGACTGTCATCAAAACAGCAGGAACTAATGCATTATAATCTTTCTAACACTTCTACACTCCCTATATAAGGGCAAAAAATACCTTCACTTTCACAGAATGTCTTGCCCAGAAGTATTCAGCAGGGAGCATAAATACTTGGTCTGCTCCCCCTCTTGGTGCATTTAAACTTCCATCACCCATCACTGTACTTCTTTCACTCCAATATGAATGAAACCAACTTCACTGCTGGTGCAAAACAACTTTTTTTTTTCTTCCAGTGAAAATGAACTGAATCCTCAGCAGGTATAAATTGCTCTCTTAACTCAGTGGTATCAAATGGCACATAAATGCTCCATCTCACTCTACAAATAAATGCAGTCTCTGTTGCAGAATATGTGAGCAGTCTCGTCTCACATGTTAAGTTTTCGGGACTGTAGTTCATACAGATTTCAATTGCTATGTGTACTTCATCTTCAGATATCTGCTGAAAATTTATGCCTGATGAGGTCTTTTTAGGACAGATTATCAAATTAATAATGTTTTCTTTATCATCTTCCATTCTGACATCATTTCATTCTGTTAAAAAGTAAGCTATTGTCCCAAACTTAAAGATTCTAAACAAATAAATGCACAAACACAGTGCCAGCCTGAAGAAAAACAGACACTCAAAATTTTTGCCTTTTTTTTCCTAGAAAATGAGATTTTTATCCTATTCAGTAGAGCACAACACTTCTACATATTAATATATTCAGTGCGAAATTAGAAAAATTGATCCTATAAGTGTTAGGGAGACTAAAATGTCTACATTCATGTGAATGATCAAGAGGCAGAGCTAATAAGTGTACATTTTTCAATTTCCTGTGGCTGCCAATAACCAATTAAAATATTTTTAGCTTTATAAAGCCAGCAGAAGGAAAATTGAACAAGAAAAGCAATATGCAAGAAGCAGTAAAAACACCTTAGCAACATAAACTGGGCAAATGGACAGCACAGATTGACTGTGACTACATAAATAATCCTGGGCTAAGTGTCAAACTAGCACTCAGAGAGCAATCAGAGTTATTCCTATCTAGATGTGCCCACTTCAGTAAAACTTGCAGGATTACATTTAGCTTTACAAATCCAACAGTTTAACATTTTAAAGAATGCATCACTAGCATATGAGAACTCGTTCAGAAAGCACATATACGAGAAAATATCTAAAATAAAGAAATGAGTGTGACAGTAAAAAAACACATAGGAAATGTAGTATTAAGAAATCTGGCAGTCCACAGAAAAAGTCACTGCCAATTTTCATGACATGTGCAGAGTGATTATGCTCCTCACGAGACAGGTAAAAACATTTTTTTAAATTGTTATTGAGATTATGCCCCAGACTACAGTTTTATTCCAGGGCATTTATGCTTTGAAGGCAACAAAGAATGAGAAAGAAAAATGAAATTACATTTCTGAAGCACAGATACTACCTCTTAGCACATGGCCCTGCTTCTTTTCCAAATATGGTGGCAACAAGCAAGACAAATTTTGCACGCTGGAACTAAACTGATTTGACACTGGCAGTAATTGGCAAATTTGTTTCCATTTGGTGCTTAATGAATGAGGAAAGCAAATATGTTACATAAATCTGCAAACAGAAGGACACTTAATGAGAAGAAAACACAACTAACACTGAGATAAAGCAACATCCTTTACTCCTTCGGAGATCCAGCAGGCAGTAAGCATTTTGCTTTATATTCACAGCACTGAACAACTCTTCTAGCTCAGCTGTTATAATTAAAACCCATTAGTCAAGAGCCTGCTCAAACCCAAGGGTAAGCACTTCCACTGGTATCAGTGGGAGCTGAATGATAGCACACAGACAGCATGCTGCAGTCACCTCTTTCACAACAATATATTTCAATCTATTGCAGTGAATACGTTCAGTATGACTACAGCTAAAAGTTTAAAACTAATCTTCTGTATGTTCCTGAACAATCCAAGTAAAAAAACAATTAAAAATTTGTAAAGATTCAAAAGTCTATCATGTTAGTAATGGTTGTTAGTCCAGCATTTTACCGTTTTTTGTGAAATTGCGAACTATAAAAGCTGAATGGGACAACAATAAATACTTCTGTACTAGACACAGACATGAATTAGAAGAACATTAAGGTGGCACACACAGTTCAGAGTAACATGCATTCAGGATTAGGCCTTTTAAAAAAAATGTCAAAATATAATAATATCGCAGAAAATCTCCATAACCCATCCTAAACCCCCACATGCATTTGCATTTGAAAGCCTGAATCCAGAAACAGGGGTTTCAGCAAACTCAGACACTCGAGGTATGACCAGACATGCTGCCAAATCTCCTGGAAATAAACCAAAAAAAGATTACTTCCTGTTCACTTCTTTCAAGACACTAACTCACATGAAAGAAGAAAATTTTATTCAATTCACTGGGAGAAAAAAATAGTAGGGCTGAAAATGTAAAGTATAAACTCCACAGGAGTCAACTATTAAGCAAAATTTCACAATTCCACAACTGAGATGGTAAAGTTCTGGATGAAAGGCAATTCTAGCTTTGCAGTGTTGTAAAGTCAGCAAGTGGAAAGAATAAAACCAAAAAAGGGCAAAAGGAGATAATCAATATAAATAAAAGTATAATGTACAAAATATATTTGGTTAAATTATAAGTCTATAGGAAAAATATCTAAAAAAGCCAAGGATTATATAGTGGAAATAAAAGAAACCTAGTACAAGTGTTCTAAGTTGAATCATTTATGAAAATGGTCAAACTACAATAACAAAAAGCAGAATGGCCAAAAGTTATATATTATCCTCATTTTGCATGAAATGGAAGCCACAACAAATGAGAATAATTACATGAGAGGCTTACTGATAAATGCTAAAGATGTGAAAACATCATATGCACAGAGAAAAATATTTTCTGACTAGTAGGTTGATCCATCCTAAAAATTAGGGAGAAATTATTTCTGTTGTTCTTATTGCTCTTTTTAAATAATTTCTAAAATTACAGGTTTTCTAGAGGAATGAAGACGAACCCCAGTTTATTAATATTCGAAGTGGCAAAACAAAGTCTCACACAATAAAAAGCTGACCAGTGAAACAATAAGCTTGTCAAAATAAATAAGAAAATCTCTATAGGATTCAATTATGATAGAATCCCAATAAAAATTGAATTAACCCACTCAAAGATCTTGTGAAACCCAATTTCCTTCTCTGATGCTTTCTCCTCTGGATTAGTAAATTGTGCTTTGAATCCCTGTGGTTCCTCATGCAAGCTCAGCTATGCTGAAGATCATAGAACACAGCACTCCTGCACAGATGTTCAA